TTTTTTTTTTTTTTTTTCTGATGCTGTGAGGAATTATAATGTGACCCTCAGCCAAAAGTCGTTTGTATTTCAATTCTACAGAACATTTTTTTTTTTTCCGCATTTTTTGATTTTTTTTAATTATTATTTTTTGCGCTGGGGCTGCCAGGAACCCTGCCCGGGGGTCATGCCCGGCCGGGCACCCGGGCGTGTACCCGGGCAGAAGTTGGGTGCCCGGGTGGCCGGAAAACAGCCTAGGTTTAAACTTTAAACTAGGCAATATTCTTCTCTCAAATTCCCTCAAATTCTTTCAAATTCTCTTAAATTGTGTCAAATTCTTTCAAATGCTTTCAAATTCTTTCAAATTCTCTCAAATTTCACACGAGGTCTGTTTGAGTCGGTGCATTTCGGTTCTGAGTCAGTTTGAGATCTGTTTGAGTCTCTTACGTGATTTTTCAGTCTGTTTGAAGCTGTCTGATCCTGTTTCAAAGTCTATTCTGAATCTGTTTGACAACTTCGACTGCGTTTTGAGTCTGGTTTTGGTGTGTTCTGAGTTTGTTTGGGTCCGTGCAATTTGTAGTATGTTCTGAGTTTGTTTAGGTGTGTTCCAAGTGTGTAGGTCTGTTTGAGTCTGTGCTATTCAGTTCTGAGTTAGTTTCAAGTGTGTTTGGGTCTGTTACAGGAGTGTTTGAGTCAGTTTCAGCCTGTTTTGAGTCTGTGTGAATCTGTTTGAGTCTGTTTTGGGTCTGTTTCAGTGTACAGGTCCATTTTTTGAGCCTCTGTCATTCTGTTTTCAAGTTTTCAGCCTCTTTCAAATGTGTTTGAGTCTGTTTTGATTCTGTTTTTAGTGTGTTTTGAGTTTGTCTGAGTCGGTCTGATTCTTAGTCTGTCCTGAGTTTGTTTCGGTGTATTTTGAGTCTGTAGGTCTGGTTGAGTCTCTGCAATCCTGTCCTCAGTCAGTTGGAAGTCTGTTTGAGTCAGTTTGAGCCTCTTTTGAGGCTGTGTGATAAGGAATCTTTGAATTCTCAACAAGAGAGAAGTTAAATTCAATGAACTTACTTCTCTGGACTGCCCCTTGTCCCACAGGGAATTGAGTGAAGTTTTCTCTGTGCTAGAGAAGATTTCACCTGTACCGCCTCTTGTCTTATACCTCTGAGTATTGACTTTAATATAGAGAAACAGAGTACGCCATGCTAAGGTTCGTTATATCGGAAAATTCCGTCTTGTTAGGCGCGGATTAACACATCGAACTACCTATGAATCCTTTTCTCTGTTTTTAGTCTCTTTTCGTGAACAGGGTTCTATTTGAGTCTTGTCTGATTCTGTTTTCAACCTGTTTTGAATGTCTGTTTTTATTTTGGTCTGATCTTGATTGAGTCTGCCTGATACTCAGTCTATGCTGGGTTCGTTTCAGTCTTTCTTCAGTCCGTTGGTCTTTTGGAGTATGTGCAATTCTGTTCTGATTCAGTTTGAACTTTGAAGTCTTTTTGTGACTGTTACTGGGCATTTTGAGCCAGTTTGGGCCTGTTTTGAGTCCCTTTCGAGTCTGATTTAGTCTAGTACAGGTCCATTTTAGTTTGTGTGAGCACTTCAAGTGATCTTTTCCGTCTCTTTTTGTGCGGGCATTGCCCTCATTGCCCGCACCGGGGCGCTAAGCTAGTAGTGGCTTATAAACCATATTGGCATATTCCCTACTGTTTCCTTTCTGCTCTGTGTACACCTTGACAGTCCATCTTCATCTTCATCCCCAGGGGTCAAGTCCCATTAGCAGCATTGAGTTTCCTCAATGCCTGAATCTGGACATGTTTGTAGAGATGTGCAGAAATCGCGTTGAGTTTCTTCAAACGCATATCGCTACAAACATGTCCAGATTCAGGCATTGAGGAAACTCAATGCTGCTAGTGGGACTTGGGCCCAGGATAGAGGCTCCCCCACATTTATGTTTTCCCAAAAAAAAGACAAAAAAAAACACCTTGATATTCCATGTGCTCCCTGCCATTAGCAGTGGTGGAAAAAAAAAGAAGAAGAAAGAAGCAAGTGGTGGTATTCCCCTGATGCGGACCAACAAGTACCTGCTCGTATACCCAAGGCCTCGGAAAGAGTTGAACACCGTCAATCGGGAGTCGAGTATCTGGACGTGATTGCGGTCAGATGCATCCAGGTCTGGACCGAATTGCAGTCAGATACATTCAGGAAAGTGCTTGTGTCAGGATGCCCTGAGGGGAGATGGCACACAGGCTGCGAATTGGCCACTGAAAATGTCCCCTGCCTTTCGGGGTAAGGACCGTAAGATTGAAAATGTCCCTACCTTTAAGGGGTAGGGCTAGATGGGTGGCCTGGCCTGGAACTGGATGGATGGCCTGCAACTGGATGTCAGTTCAGGGGGATATGAAAAGTGAAAAAAAAAAAGGACGTAGATGTACCTGAGGGAGTGCAGTGTGAACCCTGTTGGATGGGATGTTGGACCTGGGCGGAGGTCCCATTAGCAAAGGGGATTGGATTGAACGCCTGCATTTGGACGTGTTTGTGGAGAGGTGCAGAAAATCGCAACTGATCTGCTTTTCTGCATGTCACATTCAGGTGCGTCATCCAATCCTCTTTAATAGTGGGACCTTGCTCCCGGTCCCCGCTGCAAGAGCCTAAACTGGGTAAGTGCTAAAAGAAAGCAAGAAAAGAAAAGGAAACAAAGGAAGTGCACCAGTTGCCCCTCTTTCCTGTTTCGGCGAAATAGGAGTGCCTAGGATGTTGGGGGCATGAGGCCTGGCATTGACCTGCTAGTAATAACAGGACAGCTATGGTTGCTTTTGGTTAAACGTACAGTGTTACTTGGAATGTGGGGGTTTGGTAGATGTGAAGCTAGAAGTTGTTCATGAATTTGGGGGAAGTTCCCCCTCCCACAACACAGTGGTCTCCTTTCATGCACAACCTGTTCAGCATAACACGCCTACTAGTCCGAATGGCAGCCTGGCGAATGCGCTGTGCATATGAACGCAAACAGCACACATACAACTACATGCAAGCAAGATCTTTCATAGTGGAATCAATTACAACAAACACACATGCAGCCTGGAAAGAACTCACACAGATGCCGGAAAACAAGCAGGACGCAATCAAATGTGCTGAGCTCACATCCAACTTCTGTTCCCTCTGGACAGACAGAGAGAATAGGCTCTGTGAATTGGACCACCAAAATCGGCCACAGCGGAAGCCCTGGGTTGAAACGGAAAGGAGATGGGAACGCCTACGAAGGGAACACTTCACCATCCCCTTCCAACCCACCGACTTTGTTCTCATCCAGTGACCGAGGCAGATTCCCACACTCCCCCCGCCTCTCTCTCCAACCCTCCCCCCCCCCCATCCCACCCCCTCCATGCACCTTACGTCTACCCCACCTGGTCTTCGGCCCTTCCTTTACACCCCCCTCCTCCTATCCCCCTTCCCCCCGATCGACTCCCTTGCTGCTTGCCGGCCAAGCAAGGATCTCCCTCGTGGAATGTGGAAGCAGGACTGATAGACAAGCCATGCGGAGCAGCAGAAGGAAGCTCGGCCCACTGGAAGAATACAGCAAAGCGAGGCGCCGGAACACACCAAAGGCAACAGAGAGGCTGGACACGCCATGTAAAGACGAAGAATTCCGCAGTATGCTCCTGCCACAACAGCTGCCATTGTTGCCACCACACATTCTGGTTACTCGAGCCACTACCACACTAGCTTCTACCACAACAGATGTTATAGCAGTTACCACAAAGGTACCACACAGTCAGGCTACTCAAGTCACTCGTGCGCTACATTACACCAGCACACTATCTCACAGCGTCACAAGACTGGCTACAAGTCCACACGGATTTTGCCACAGCATCCACTCCACACACTCCAGACACTACTCTTAGGCCACACAAGACACTTAATGCTCTACTCGCACAACATGATCCGCTATCAGCATGCATGACATTAGCACGCACACCTCTACAGCACAGTGCACAGTACACACTTCACACTGTTTCACAAAGCTACGTTTTTGCTACGCTTCACACAAGTCTCACACTGCTCACGCAGCTCTAAGTGCTCACATAAGTCACACCAGCAGCTACAAACAGTGTGGGTAGTGAAAATAGAACATACTAGTTGATGGAACACATTATAATGTGGATCCCCGATCCAACATGATGTACAGGGACGCTCGACCTGATTTCCAGCAGGTGCTGCTCCCCACCAATACATGGAGCCTTCAACAACGGGGGCTTGCTTAAAGGGAATGCTCTTATCACCCCGGTAAGCAAAACACCCTGTGCATGAAGTTAAAAAAAAAAAGAAAAAGAATTCCATAGTATTCATACCATTTTCTGAAATGTTTCCCAGCTGAAGCCCCGGTAATGGACCCGGTATCTTGAAGTGTTTGTTTTTCTACAAGGGACGCTGAGCTCGGCTCCCACCACGTGTCGCTCCCCACGAATAGATCGAGAAGGGGGGGGGGCGCGGGGGAAGGACTGCCACATCTGGCTGAAGAGGACTGCTGACCTCAGATGATTACCTATTATGACAGCAGACAGTTTTGATCGTTTAGACACTGAGATCGCTTCTCACTCTGGCCCTTCTTTTTCAACTTATCAGTGGATGCAATTCTGGTCAGATGCATCCAGGCCTTGCCTTGAAAACGGTCAGATACATTCAGGAAAGTTGTCGTGTGAGTATGCCCTGAGATTGCTGCTCACACCCTCGTATTGCTGCTCTCCAGGTGGCACCCTATGAGAGGCCGGCGCTGAGCAAGGGGTACTTGAATCCTGAAGGTGTGTAACATGCATATATGTATATTGCATTGAACCACTTGTATTCACACTCCAATCACATGCACCATGAAAGTACACACAGAAATTCACACCAAAGTCCGGAGATAGAGAGACCAGATTAGCACAGCTTGGAAATCCTCAACGAACAAAATTAGAGTTCGGGTCACATAGCGCTCAACAGTGCAATAGCCATCAGCTTCAACCAGGTATGTAACTGTGTTCATCTCTCATGTAACTCTCTCTCTCTCTCTCTCTCTCTCTCTCTCTCTCTCTCTCTCTCTCTCTCTCTCTCTCTCTCTCTCTCTCTCTCTCTCTC